GACATGTAGCTTTCCTTAACATAGAGAGCTACCCCCCCGCCCCTTTTCTCTACACAATCCCTCCTGTACAGGGTATAGCCATCTATACCCGTGGTCCAGTCATGGGTGGAGTCCCACCAGGTCTCCGTTATCCCTATGACATCATAATTATTTGCACTGAGCAGGAGGATGAGCTCCTCCTGCTTATTCCCCAAGCTCCTGACATTTGTGTACAGGCAGGCAAGTGTCCCCTGGGGGGCTCCTTCCTTGCCCAAAGATTTTACCAGGGCTGGGGCAGGGGCGGGCTCCCTTAAGTGCCTTGAACTGCTGGCTTTGCAAGGATTGCAAAGTTAGAGCGGCGAAAATCTGGAATGGGCTCCTAAGGGAGGTGGTGCTCTCCCCTACCCTGGGGGTCTTCAAGAGGAGGTTAGATAAGCATCTGGTTGGGGTCATCTGAACCCAGCACACTTTCCTGCCTATGCAGGGGGTTGGACTTGATGATCTATTGAGGTCCCTTCCGACCCTAACATCTATGAATCTATAAATCTGAGCGTACTTTATGTTATTGTAGGTATTTCAGGCAAGCAGCTGTGCCTTCATGGTGGGGGATGGTAGTGTACAGACTGGTGACATCCCTGGTTGCCTGTATGGCCTTCTCAGGGAGGTGGCTGATGTTCTGATTTGGCTGAGGAAGTCTGTTGTGTCTTGTAGAAAACTTGCTCTTTGAGTGACAAGTGGTTGCAGGATAGTTTATATGAATCCTAATAGTTCTTCACTGAGGGTATCAGTTGAATATGATGGGTCTGCCAGGGTTACCTTGTTTGTGATTCTTTGGGAGCGTACAGAAAGTTTGTGGGGTGGAAGAAGTGGCAATAAGTGGAAGTGCTTTTTCTTGAATCTGGTGTGGGAAGGATTTGATGATATTTTCCAGTCCCAGAGTGAACACTGATGTGGGGTCCTCCCCAATTTCTTTATAGTATTTGATGTGAGAGTTTTGTCTGTTTGCCTCAATGATGTAGATGTTGAAGATAAGCCCCACCTTTGTCTGCTGATGTGATTCCATGGCTGCAACATCACTAACAGTAACATATAAAAATAAAACATCTACTGTGCCTATTACTCTGACTATAGATATGGGTGTGCACACAATTTCCTGTGAGATAAAAGAAAGCAGTCTTTACTTAGTACTAGTGGTAACTATCCATGTGCACACTCTTAAGCCACACTAAATAAAACATGACCTGAAGGAGCTTAGCCCTCTTTTTTAAGGTCCCCTTTTCATGCCAAGTCTTCACGCCTGTGTTTTTTCAGAGCAGAGAATCTTGTTTAGTGTTTCTATTGCCACTGTGAAATGAAAAAAATACCACTGATGATATACTGGCCAAAAATATCAGCACACAATATGCAACTTAAAATGGTTTTGGTAATTAAAACTGATGCAGATTTCAGACTTAGAAACAAGATAAAAAATTATCAAATTAGAAACACATTTTCTAAGATAACACTGCAGTGTTCTACTGATGATATATATATGTGTGTGTAGGCATGCATGCATGTGCATACCTATGTTTATATATTCCTTTCTTAAAATCTATAGTTATGTCGCTTGTTCAAGTTTTATGAGGACACAGAGACATTTAAGAGACCAAGAGATAAATGTCAAATGAAAAAAGACTACAGATCAGTCTGATGCATCAGTAAAAGAGGAGATGAAAGAAGCAGCTCCCTTTAAAGCTTTACTCCTAGCATTTGTTTTCCCTCTACATTTCAAGAGCAAGCAAAACAAATTATTATATTCCTGAAATACAGTCTGTTACATCCCAGGGGGAGGGGAGGGGAGGATGACCATGTCCAAATAAAGTGAAAAGAAAAGTCAAGCAAACAAATTTTGGGCATAAGAAAATGAATTTTGTGCTGCATCGCAGTCCTGGAGACTGGATGACAGCATAGACAATGGTAGTATGGGTTTCCTTTCATGCTCCTCTCATGATTCAGTGCACCTCAGCCAGGGAGGTTCACTTTTAAATATTAGGACAGTTCAGCTTCCAGGGTCCATTCAAAATTTGGCTTCTCTATAAAAACTGTTAAGGGTTAGTTAGAATGGTAACATTTTCCACATTGCAGATGCATCGACATGTGCAATTAATTCAAACCAATAAACTTCAGAGCAGTTTGAGCCAGAGTGAACTATTCCTGGACTCAGTGCCTACAAGTGCACCCAGGACAGCAGCAATCTGAGCTGGGGTGGAGCAGTTTATGCCAGGCCCAGGGGCACAGGGGGTCAGCCCCAGACTCTGAGTGGTGGTGTAGGGCAGTGGAGGGGCTGGCTGGGGCACAAAGGTGCTGAAAGTGCGGAGCTGTGTGGCTAGGCAGCAGGCAGGACTCGGAGCCCTGGCTGGCTGGGTTGACTGGGAGCAATTTACGCCTGTGGTCAGCATCTACACATGCATTTAATCACAGTTAATTACCCCACCATAAGACAGTATTGTCCCCAACAGTACTATCTTATGGTAGCATTAATTAATGTACTGAGGCCTAATAGCGTCGCACATGTAGACAGCAATGCTTTACTCTGCAGCTAATTAATCTACTCCGCAGTTAAGTGCATGTATAGACATAGCCACCAAGATCTAGGATAGCTCTGGAATGATTCCAGCACAGCAGTCATATTATTATAGTATTACACAACTAAAATGTTGTCCCTAAATGTTCAGAATGAGATATAGTATGAAATGTCTCAAAAAGCATATATAAATACAGCACTGAAATTGCAGTCATGTTGCACTGTTACATAAAAGCATTCCATTTATTTTCTGCTGTATTCCTTTCCTGCACCACCAGACCTTTGATCCCATCTCACGGTGGTGGAAAATACATTCAAGGATTAATTGTTAAACAACAGCCAATCAAAATAACTAGTACATTCCAACAAAAGCCAGTTCATATGACCTTTTACATCTTCATTTTAACCAAGCCTGAAGCATTTCAACAAAGCCATCTGATTCTATAATAAGAGCAATAAAACAAGGATATTGAAGAATATGAGCTATTCCCCAGCAGTTTAGTCCTAGTTATGCCAAGGCGGCATACAGTCATGACGTGTGTTCATAAAGACACAAGACAGTAAACTATTCCAAATTTCAACACAGCACTGTTGTCAGACTATATTAAAAACAATGTTGTCAGTAATAGTAATGATTGAATAATTAATTAACATACACTAGATGCAGAAATACTACCATATATAGGCTAAAATTGCATTTTGCCTTCTCAAGTTTGTTCATTCTATGTGTATCATGTGCTTACTGCACAGTTCTCATTGTTATACTTTAAATTTTTTCTATGAAGCCTGGCCAAGTTGCTTCTCCAGCACTATAGTCACTTCAGGGTCAAGATACCAGAGTGCAAGGGTTGGGCAGAATCGGTACCATTACACAAAGTCAAACCATATTGGAGGCCATATTGTCAAATTGCCTACTTAGTCTCAAGTATGTATGTTGCAGGTTCAAACCCCACTTTAAAAACTAATATATTCCCATATACAAGTATAAAAAATAATCACCTACACAAGCTAGCATTTTTAACACCCCCAGTCTGCTAAGAAGCCTGCAAGAACCATCTCCAGCAATTATTCTGCTAATAATACAGACCCGTAGAATTAGGATATGGTAGTGAGTTGGCTTTCTTAAATTACAACCTGCCAGATATGAATAGAAATTCATACTTAAGATATTGTGTCAACAGAGTTTGACACAATTGACTGTGAAGTGTTAGTGAGTTACCTGAGAGACCTACAAGGATGTTGGAGTTGTACTATGCTCCTTTGAACATTCCTCTCAGATAGACAGATCAAAGAAGCCTGCTGCAGGCAGTTGTTCCCTTGCCTTGAAACATTCATTGGTAGAGTCCTACAAGACACTACCTTACCTCCCAGCCTACACAGCAGATATGTTAAACCTCTGAAGGCAACAGTGAGATGCTATGGACTACTGTCCTACACAGATGAACCTCTTATCTAAATGTCCTTCCTATCAAACACATACAGCACAATCACTTAGCTTTAATGATTCCTGAGATAGTAAAGTACCTGAACAAAGACAACGGTCTGCAATTAAATCCACGCAAAACAGATGCAATACTGGTAGGAAGAGGAAGAAATTCTAGAGATGAACCTGTGCCATAATAAAGGCACAGTGAAGGGCAAATGCCCATATCAAGGTAGCATTCAGTCTTGAAGTTCCAAACTCTCTATTGCTCCTGAATAGCCAAATGCCTTCAGTAACCAGAACTGCCTCTTAAGCTTGTCCATTCATGACAGACATGGTCACAGCCATAGCATGCTGTATCTGCATTAGCTTCAGGCCGGTTACCAAAACTTACTGTACATGGAGATGAATAAAGGAGCTGCAGAGTGTACAACAGCTGGCATCCTCCCTTTTAACCAAAGAGCAGTGATAAGGACATATTACCAGCAGCTGCTTTGGTTGCACTGAGATTTTGGATGAGGAGTATGTTATTTGTACATTAAATGAGCCAAGTATGCTTAAGTAAATTAGGGCTGAAAATCAAACAGGTAACATAGGTTAAATCAAATCCTGTAGTTTTTACTCAGACAGAAGTTCCACTGAAATGGGGCTTTTTTTGCTTAATGTGTGCATGACTTGGTCTCAGCTGATCTCAGCTGACAAACTCAGTATACCTCCTCACATTGTGTGTATTTACTAAAGCAGAAGGATATCCTGAAACCTGGGAGATCTTTGCCTCTCGTCCTGCAAGCTGCAGCTGAGCAAAGGCTGAATGGGGAAGGATCCTCTTGAAACATGAGTCTAAGGGCCTAGATACACATTCGTTTTAGGCAGCTCCTGAAACTCTTAACCCCTAGATTGTCCACACATTAACCCTGAAACTAGTTTAAAGTACACTTTAGGTGGCTTGTAGTTACACCACTCCAGAACAGGTTTATCTCTGATCCATGTTACCCAGCTCATGTTCCATTAATGTGTGGCCATTCCCCACAGATGAGCTGCCTAAATTGCAGTCCTCCAGCATCCCAGGATGCAGTGTCTCCTGCCCCACCCTCTTGTTCTGTGTAGACAAACTTTCTGCCCCCTGAACCCTACTGCCTAGGGGGTTGTTCTGGCAACAAGTCACCTCCCCCTCCCACTGCCAGGTGTGTGACCTTCCCACCACCAGGGGTGCGACCCTGTGCAAACAACCTGCAGACCACATGCCAACTAGCCAGGTCACAGGGCACAGACGGGACCAGGAGTAGGGTCCATGGAGGGTAGGAAAGAACAAGGTAGGGAGCCAGATCAGGTCCCCATGAACTGGGGTTTCCTTTCCAAGGCAGAAGCAGTAGCTCCCTCAAAAGTGCTTTCCCTCACTTCTCCCACCTCCCAGTCACCCTGGGAAGCACAACCAGCACTCCCCACACCCTAATCCCAAATCCTAACTTATTACAACATGAAACCTTCTTTAATTTATTTCTCCTTTATTTATTTTTCATTTTTCATTTTTTATACATTTTTATTTTATCCTTCAGTGGCTGACTTCCTTCGCTTCAACCTTCTCCCACCCCCATTTCCTTTCCACCTCCCATTTCATTGCCCACCCCCATCCCATTAACTCTTCACCTCCCAGCTTCAAGACATCCCTCCCCCTGCAACCCATCTCTCACATGCCACCACCTAAAGCAGGGATAGTAGCCTGTCCTGGCTCCCCAGCCCTGTAGTGGCAACTCACAGCTGTAGCTCCCAGTTAGGCCTCTGCTGGCCAGCCCTTTAGTGGCAAGTTACAGGTGTGCAGGTAGAGGACAGTCAGAGAAGGTTTTTAGCCTTAAGGTGTGACTGCTGCAGGCTTGAGCTAGCACTAACACCAGTCAACATTTGAGTAACTCAAAGTGCAACATATAATAAGGCCCTAAGGCTGCAGTTGTTTTTGGTCTCCTTTAAACTTCAAAGGTCCCCCCAACAGCAGCAGATTTTCCCTCAGATTTTTCTAAGTTAAGGCCCTCCACCTTCAAACCACATCATGGCTAGATCCATTTACATAGCACTGAATTTTAAAGTGTAATAAGTAAGAAAAAATGCTAGGAGACCAACTTCTCACCCATCCAACTACCCACACACTTGCCAAAGACTGAGATTAGAATTTCATACATATCTACACTCTGCTTCTTCATAACCATTAAATTACTTCAACAAATTCCTTTGTTTGGGAATCTTCCAAAGTGACAGTGTAAATACATACAGTTGGAAACAATATACTCCCATTTTCAAACTGACTAGAAGTAAAGTTTGCTAGACAGTTGTTTCTGCTATACGCCTTCTTCAGTTCTAAATAAGCTGCCAATGCTGCAGCATTTCTAAATCAGATTCGCATAACTGGCAACTGCAGTGGAGTAAACAGAATGCCAATCATTACTTCCTAACTCATTTTGCTTTAGGGAGAAAGTTCATATTTCTTGTGTGGGTGGGTATGTAAGCCCAAATGCAGTGGAAACATGGTTGGTCAGCTAAGCCTGTGCATAGGCTACAATGGGGTACCTTCCTTGTGTCAGTTCCAGGCAGCAGAAAGTCAGCTTGCAGGTCAGGGAAAAGCTAGCAGTGTGGCTTATAGATTGCAGATTCACTTGCTGATAAAACCACACTAGAAGACCAAATGAGGAATAAATCAGTTCTGGAGTGGGTTATCTGTATTTCTCAAGAAGGGAAGAATTGCTTCATATGCTCAAACTAGATCCATTTACTTAGGTTTTCATTCTTAATAGCTACTCTCTGGAACTGCTCTCTATTGTGCTGATGGTAGAGTTAATAGAAGAATTTTTAAGAAAACATCATAAATTGATGTTACTTGTTTTGTTTTGAAAAATCACTCTTGCCACTGAGTGCTTACATATGAATGTAAACCAGGGGTGGGCAAAATGTGGCCCCTAAAAGAATCAGAAAGTTAATCTTTATCTGCACCTGGCTGCCTGTCACGCAGCCCTCGATAGCTTGCCAAAACTCAGTAAGCAGCCCTCCACTCAAAATAAATGCCCGCCCCTGATGTAAACCATAGAATCAGAGAAAATGGGGGTTGGAAGGGACCTCAGGAGGTCCTGTAGTCCAACCCCCAGCTCAAAGCAGGACTATCCCTAGCTATATCATCCCAAGGCTTTGTCTAGCCAGGCTTTGTCTAGCCAGGTCTCAAAAACTTGCAAGGATCAAGAGTTTACAACCTCTCTGGGTAACCTGTTCCAGTGTTTTACTACCTTCCTTGTAAGAAAGTTTTTCCTCATATTAAACCTAAACCTCCCTTGTTGCAACTTGAGACCAATGTTCCTTGTTCTGTCATCTGTCACCACTAAGAACAGTTTAGGTCTGGACTGCTGAAATTTAGTCAGTTTGAAAAATTTAGCCTTGTGGTGTGTTACTGCTCCAAACTTGGGGTTGCACTAACACTAATCAACATCTGAGCAGCTCAAAGTACAAGGTGCAATAAGGCCCTAAGGCTACATTTGTTTTCGGCTTCCTTTAAACTTTGAAAATGTTCCAAGAGCAGCAATTTTCTCTCAGATGTTTCTAAGTTAAAGCCCCTCCCCCACAAACTGACTGGTGAAAGAAATTAAAACCTGAAAAGGAGTTAGTAGCTAGAATACAATGTTACATTCTCAAACCTAATTTGTTACATTTTTAAACATAAGATGTTACATTCTCAGACCTAAATTACAGAGAAACAACACAAAACACAACACTTAAACAAAGCATAGATCAGGGTGGGCAATTATTTCAGCTGAAGGGCTGCTTAAAAAGGTTTGGTGAGCTGTCAAGGGCTGCAAGGGTAGTCCCACCCCTTGACAGGTGTCCCACTCCCTGGTCACTATCTTGGGACCAGAAGTCCCACCCCTAATCCCTGACCTCTGCCACCAAAAGCCACCTGGAAGTACTCCTTTTGAGGGGGTGTTTGCCATCTTGGAACCAGAAGAAAAAACAAATCATATACTGAAAACCAAAATTCTACTATAACATATTTCAAAAAATATTTCTGTCCTGATTTGTCTGTGTTTGTATAGTGTATATAGAAGCAATTGCATAATAGGTACAGATAAGGTCTTACTCTTGTATATTGTGTGTAGGGGATGGTTGGGGGTGTGCGGGGGGAAAGGGGGAAATGGAGGCAGAGCATGGTTCCTGCCGAGTCCCACGAGCTGCATATGGCGACCGGGAGCAGGGCCAGGCCAGGCCAGCTCCATCACACAGGGCTCCCCACAGCTCATGTGCAGCTCCCAGGACTTGGCTAGGAGCCGCATATGATGGCCTGCTGGGAGATGCACGTGCTGGAGCTAGAAGTCTGGCTCTGCTCCCTGTTGCCACGTGCACCTCCCAGGACTCCACATGGAGTGGAGGGGAGCCCTGGGCCAGCTCAGCCCTGTTCCCTGCCACCCTGGCCAAGTCCCAGCAGCTGCATGTGGCAGCAGGGAGTGGGACAGGCTGCCAGCTCCAGCACGCACAGTTCCCAGCTGAGTCTCAGGAGCTGCACACAGTTTGCAGGGAGCACCGCACAATGAAGTCAGGTTGGCCCCACACTCCTGCCAGCCCGACTCCATGCTCCTGCCATCCCACTCTGGCCCTGCACTCCCACCAGCCTTGGCCCTGGTATGGGTCCTGCGCTCTGTGCTCCCAATGGCCCTGGAGCTGGCCCCAAACTCTCACCCAGCTGCAGCTTCCCTGCTGCCCACTGCTGCTTCCCTACTGCCCAGAAAGCTGCAGCAGGGACAGAAAGAATTGCTGCTGAAGGCTGGGGGAGTTGAGTCATTCCCCAAGGGAGCTACAGCAGCAGCAGCTCCACCTAGAAGCTGTCACACTGACCAGGGCTCAGCCAGGGCCCTCCCATGGGCAAGGGTGGAAATACAGCATCCTGCCCCCATGGGAGCGGGCGGGGCTCAACCCCATGCAGAGCACAACAGGGGTAGCCACAGGCCAAGCCAGATACAATTAACTGGTGGGCATCCACCCATGGGCTGGATGAAATCTCCTGGCAGGCCAGATCCAGCCTATGGGCCATATTTTGCCCACCCCTGGAATAGACTGTACTATAAGCCACCAGAACTCGGAAAGCAATGGAAGTGTTGTTGTAGTCATAATGATGCAGGAAGCATATGAGAGGCAACGATTTTTTGATCTCTTTTTAATAGACCAACTGTAGAGATAAGAGAGCTGTTGAATGAGGCATCAAGTGTCCTTCCTCAAGTCACTCGTTAAAAGCTGAAGAGTTAAACTTGACACTCAAACCCAGCTTTATTATTGGTAGAAGCAGAGGCAAATCTACAGAAGTGGAACATGTGTCTTTCTCCCTTTCAGGAAACCTCCCTGCCTTCCCTTCTTAGTGCATCTCATAGAGTGCAGA